CGTTGAAAGTGTCGCTCATCGAATTTAAACAATTCCAAAATGACGCCTTGTCAGGATTTAACGCTAGTTCGTCGAGTTGTAATGTTTTTTCTTTGTGGAATCCTTTCTTCTTTGTGTCTAGGAGCTTTTTGTAATCATTCAAGGTTTTGTGATATCTTTCCCGCACTTCGGAGTTGAGGGGGTCACGGTGCTTTTCATTTGAGACTTTTCGTAATTCATGCCTTTTCAAGCGACATTCACAGTCGAACCATTTCTTGTTGGATGATTTCTTAATACGCTTATAAGTTTTCTTAGTATTGATTTTTAGGCATAGCTTGGAGATCTCAGTTAGAATTTTCATAGCGTTTTCTAAGGAGATATTCACATCTTCGGTGTTTCTCTCCATATATTGTTTAATTAGAATTTGGATTGGTTCTGTGCGCAGTGCGTTTTTGAATTTTAAATGTGAGTCAACTTCCCAGCAAAATTGCCGTGGTAATTTTGATAATCTATTGCTACTATTTGGAGGGTGCATTTCGTCTCCAATTAACCTGGTGTTAAGATTGAGCCATGCCACGATGGCACTATGATCCGATAAATAAGATGGCTGTTTAACAACAAAATTTGCAACGTTGAGAAATGTACACTGATCACATATTAGATAAGTAGTCAAGTAGTAGTAGTAGTAGTGGTAGTGGTAGTGGTAGTGGTAGTGGTAGTGGTAGTGGTAGTGGTAGTGGTAGTGGTAGTGGTAGTGGTAGTGGTAGTGGTAGTGGTAGTGGTAGTGGTAGTGGTAGTAGTAGTAGTAGTAGTAGTAGTAGTGGTTAGTGGTAGTGGTAGTGGTAGTAGTAGTAGTAGTAGTAGTAGTAGTAGTAGCAGCAGCAGCATCATCATCATCATCATCATCATCATCATCATCTTCTTCTTCTTCTTTTTCCTCTCATAATCATCACCATCTGTCACTAGTGACAAATGAGCTTTAAATGATTGAGAGAGAAACTGCACTGAGCGACATAGTTGCAAGGTCATCGTAAAACTCGAATGTCAAGGTATACCTTTTATTGTTATTGAAGTTACACTTGTCGAACAGTAACGAGTGTGGCAAAACCATTGTTGATTTAACGACGCGGGGTGTAAAATGATAGAAAATTGCCACTCAACGGATTACAAGTACTCTAGAATAACGACAGCTGGATATCAATTCATTTTGAACACCTAGACTTTAATTAATTATATCACGTTATCACCTTCTGCTGTGAACTAAAGCCAAGTAAACAACTTCTTGTATTAGCATTTTGGAAAGAGAGAAAAGATTCATAATATAATATCACCCTTAAGCAACAAGGCTTGAGGTCAGCCGAAAGCAAGAAAGTGGATCGCCATTTTTCTTTCATCCAAAACTGATTCAAAATCATATGATATATATTCAACCTTTTGAAGCCTTCAGTAAAGTAACGAGTACCCATACGGATATTTCAGTCAAGGTGAGTTTGTAAAACGACTTTGAAAGCAGTTTTAAATTTGTTTATGATTAAAAATTTATTTCCTTCGTCTCTTCGCTGTTTGAAGATAAATACCCTATATACTCATGGCCAACTTAACGAGAAGAGTATCTTCGAACCGTCTTTCTACTTGAAAGGCTCTGTTGTAACTTTGTCTAGTCATAAACCAGTGGAATTTTTAAAAGTCTGACCGCTACAGTAATGACCACTGCACAGTGTTTTACAAATCGGATCAATCCTTAGACAAACTATGTTAATATGACCTGCCATGATATTAGTTTAAGGTTAACATTTTTCACTCATAAAGTGTCTATGGAGATATTTGCTGAACTAAACAGTGTTAGATAGTGTCATTTTAAGGTCGATGACGAATTTAGTTCAGGGTGTCAGTTTTAATACGTCCAAAATTTCGCAAAATTTGTCAAAAAAAAGATCAATAAAATGTATGTAAAATTTAGGTTACCCCGGGGGAGTCAATTGAAATTCAAACTGAGTGTTGTTTTTTCACATTTCGTCGGATTATTCGTCTTCGAAATAGGAAAAAAAACCTCTAACACGAAATAAAACCGTAGGTTAGTATTCGAATGAACACTCGTATTCTCGATCCTTTTTTGACTGATACCTGCCAATCAATCGAATGCCGAGAGGAAGTTATTTAATCAGGACTTTAGAGGACACTGTTTTCTCAGCTTCTATTTATAAACTATCTATACCCTATCTTGAACTAAACTGTTTTGACAATAATTTTCTTGCAAATACAGCTCATAAATTAAGAAAGGTTTCCTTAATGTTTCATTCATCTCAAAACTTGCACAACCGGACACAACGTGCAATGTCAGATTGTCGTCTGCAGTGGCTTTAAAGAAAACACCATATTTTCAGTGGAGTTATTCTAGTGACTAGCTACACCCATTAGTTCATTTTCTTTTCTCCTTCTTTGTAAATAATGATGACGGTAGAAAAATTGAAACCGTCATTCGCATAAAAAGAACAAATTCTTGCAGGCATAACATTGGTCAGAGCGCACGCTGTTCTTTAGTCTACTGCAGTACAATACGATTGAAATATTTTAGATATTACTTCATCACCAGCAACAAATTGTGTTAGGGTATGTATTTATCGACTCCACGAAGCCTCATTGTTTCAAAATAACTCACAATTTGTGAAACGGAGATCATTTATTTTGTAATTCAGTCGTAACAAGAAGTTCAGAAGAACTACGGATAATTAAGTCACAAATTCCCGACAAACATAATCAGAAAGAAGCTAAGCCGAACACAAACTGCAGGGGATCGATAACAAAGAATTATTTAGGTTATACCTACTGGTTGGAGGACCAAATGCTTTATAATTTCCCAACAGAATAGGGACAACATTTGGGACAATAGTGTAGACAAACAATCTGAGTAAGACGGAGCTCTCATGACTAAACGTTCCCATGTACAGACGATTAAAAGGTGGGATTACATTGAGGCGATGAAAATAACTTTCGCGGTCAGTCGTGGGTTTCTTATTATCTAGTATTTTGAATGATTGATTGATTTTTCTATCCTCATGGGAAAAGGACTTCAATATCCAGAGTCAAAATGCATCAAAGCTAACAGAGTAAATTAAAAAAAAAAAATTTGCCAACATTTATAATAGACACTTTTTTGCAGTTTATTAAATACATTGTGCTCATTATCTATCTTCTCATTGGCTAAGAGCCTACAGCTGATTGTAAACGTTATCAGCCTCGGCCTTCAGCGCGGCCGATAACACTTACCTCGACCACGATTATTCCGGATATCACAAAAACTTCATCCAATAATTGCTTAAAATTCCCGACTTAAGGCGAAAGAGCCGAAAAGAAACTGGTCAGATTTACTTTTGCAAATTTAATAAAAGAGATTAATCATATACAATACAATACAATACAATACAATAACTTTATTTAAAGAGGGAAGCGCAATAACCTGTTACAGTTTTCTAAGCTACGGCCCTCAAAAAAATAGATAAATAGATAAACAAATTTAGAAGACTAAAAACAAATAAATATATCTGACAGTAAGCAAACCTTTAGGATAATTACGAACGTGTTCGTAGAGATGAGGTCAAGAACATCGAGAAACAAACCGAATATTTGACAGGACAGAATTTGAACCAGCGTGAAACTTTGGATTCCATGAGAGATTGAGGTAACACGCATACGCTCTTACCAGTCCGCACTCTGACACTTCCATTACCAAATCAGCGCAAAACTGCGCACTGGCAAGCAAGCTGCTCCAGCATAAGTTACATGATGAACGTTTATTATGGTTGAATATTTCATAGCATTACTTATAATTTTATTTGTCGTTCTTCTTTTGCTCAGAGACACTATGGTTTTTCGCACTCAGCACATCTACGCATTACAGATTTTTCCTGTTGTTTGGTGAGTACCAGTGGGTACAAATTAAAACATGAAGGCAGCTACTTAACATCGCTTTATATAACACATCAAATTCTTTGAAGTGTGATACCGCGCATATTTTGTGCGTGTTATGAAGAAATAGGAAGTCATCAGTGCCCCACTCATCGGTCAAAGAACTATAAAGGCCTTGGGTGGCGCTATTGTCCATGGTTGCTTTGGGGTTCATGAAGTAAACTAATACTTGAATGCAATATCACATAACTCCTCCCCTCCCCCTTCCGTTTGGAAGTCTGTTTGGTCGCTTTTTGTAAGCATTGATACACTAAGACATTAAGTATCACTGAGGTATCGTAATAGTTGTGAAAAAAAATTCGGCAGACTGACATGTATGTGCCAAAGTCCAGTCATGCGCTTGGAATGTAGCTATCTGTATCCCGCCCTTTTTTTGACCTTTTTTCGGGGTATCATCAAGAAGATGGGCAAAAAGTCTCATGTGACCACTAATGACACTGATATTTTTCGTAGTGGCCACGAAATTGATAACAGTTGCTTTCAAGAGACACAAGCGCCAGAAACAACCCAAATTTTTTTCTTATATTTTTCTTTCCCAACCTTTTTTCAAGCTTCATTTCAGGCAACAGTGGCACCTCGCTTTTGAAGAACATAGTGGGCCCTGACTATGATTCAACATTGAGACCCAGTTATTATGAAGGTAAGTGGCCCAGACGAGGCAAGTGTAGTGACGTTTGATACATCTGGTTAATTTTGACAATTAAGGGCAGAATTTTTTTTCTTCGATGTTCAATTAAGCTTTTTATAACGAAATCCTCTGTATAACGAACGATGTTCTTCGCCACAGTTTATTCGTTTAGACAGCTATTAATGTGAAAGGCCGCCTTAGATTCAAACTTTAAACACGTCCTACAACAGAACATTCAGCTCTTGTAATCGAAGTTTTGTAAGTGTGTGAGTGATTTCTTATATTTAGTTTCTTATTCAGATAATCATCATTATCATGGTCGTCAACGTTATTGTCATGGTCAATGTTGAGGCAATGACATCATTATTGTCTTTGTCATTGCATTAATTAAAACAAAACCTACGAACACAAACAAACAAACGAAACCATGAGCTTGAATCTTATTATCATTTTATACTATATTTTAGGATCGCCAGTAGACGTTTTTGTTGATCTCCACGTGGAATCTTTTGGAAATATAGAAGAGGCTAGCATGGTAAGAGTGTCGTTTACATCTGTTTAGCATACATTACAGGGGCCATTTTTCCTCAATGAAAACTGCTCCGCTTAAAAGGGAAAAATGACAAGTGTTCCGGGCTAGGCTGCGTTCAATAATTGTTAAATATTAGAGAAACTTAATTTAATATTACTGATTTATTAATTAGTTCAATTTAATGCTATCTATTAATAAAAATAACACACATGAGTTCCTTTTTTTGCCTTTAGGAATTCAAGGTGTATTCTTACTTCAAGCAGACCTGGTACGATAAGCGTTTGGCGGGAAAAATAAATCGTACTGTGAACTTCAAAGCGGCGGACATCAGAAATGTATGGACACCTGATGCCTATTGCTACAATGCAAGGATAACAAATTTAATGTTACCAAGCTCTGAGACGCACAGTAAGATATCACTTAGTCCTGAAGGAGAACTCGTCTACAGCCGAGGGTAGGTGCCCCGTAGTCTATAATCACACCAGATTCAACAGTTAAGCACACACTATCATCTCCGCGGTATGGCCAGCACCTTAAGCATGCGCGCAGCCATATCACTTGGGTAGTGTCAGCCATATGGCCAGCTGTTCCGTCCTCATCAGGACTCATCAGAATAGCATTACCCCACGCGAAAGGTCTCTCTTACGATAACTGCCCCCCCCCCGCCCCCCTCCCTTCCTTTTACTGTCGAGTTGGGGATTTGCAAAAGCACCCCTTTATTTAGCCCTTTTAGAGTGTGCTTAGTTGCTAAATTTGCTCTTAAAGCTTGTTATAACCGGAAAAGGAAAGAGTTATGTTCACAGCTGCACTGCAAACGTTTTCTTTTTCTGACTTTCAGGATTACATTTACGGCGTCTTGTTTTATGGATTTACACAGCTTTCCTCATGACCGTCAGTCATGTTATCTTAAGTTTGGGAGTTGTAAGTATTTGCCCCTAACTAAACAACGGGCGCTTTCCATTTAGTCAAAATTTCCGGAATTTCCGGTTCGGCGGTAAATGGAACACGTTTCGTCGGTTCGTCCCACTGGAAAATTCCCAGAAAAAGTGGAAAATCTAAAAAGGTGGTCCCGTTTTCCCGGTTGGAATTTCCGAACGGAATGTCGTGTTCCATTGACGTTTCTTGTAGTTTGTACCAGTTCCAGGTCCACGGTCGGGCACCCGGCCACGTACCGGGGTTTGCGACCAAATGGAACAACTTTTTACCGATCGGAAATTCCACTTTTGCTACCACCGAAATTTCCGGGTTTTTTTCGTAAATGGAAAGCGCCCAACGTTCCTCATTCCACTGTTTTACCATTCCTACCTAACAAGTAATATTTTTGACCAGGACATTATATAACAAGTGGACGATCCATTTTCAGTTAACTGAAAGACTAAAAATGCATCTCTGACAGTCCCTTGGATCGTGGACATCACTGAAAAGCAACTGTGAAGTAATTGAATAACTGGACAAAAATATCGATTAATTTTCAGTTTATGAGAACATATTATTTCCAGTTAATGACCAGACGCATCTGAGATTATTGCGTTTCCACTCCACCCCACTCTTCCCCGTATAACATGCTACTTCATCTTGTACCAATACACTACATCTGGTTGGAGCATTGAAATGAATTTCCGCCAAGTTTTAACTTACACAACGCCATTCTAACTACTCCGTAAGGGGGCGGCCTTAAAATAACCACAAAGTATGACAAGGAAACAGTAACAGATTTCAAGTAGTTTCCATAGGAAGAGGGACAAATATTGAGGATTCGTTCTCTTAGCTTATTCTCTCTTATTGGAGAGTGATGGTGTGAACCAAGAAGATCCGCTCATTTACACCGGCATATATGACTACCTTTGTTACCACTGTCTAAATCTGGTCTAAAAGTGTCCGGTTAAGACATCCTTTAAAGGGAAATGAGCTCTCGGCCTTGCAAAAGTTACAACCACACTTCTCTCTTAAATGCGTAGATGCTTACGACGACAGTGCCGTCATCTTAAAATGGTCAGGCCAAGATCTTCAAGTCAGTCATGATGACATGGCTCAGTACGCATTCCTGGGCGGAAAATTTTCCTCTGAATTGGAAAGCTTCTCAGGCGGTATGTCAGGCCCGCGGGGGGGAGGGGGACTCCGCATATGAAAGGGGTGGGGATGCTCGTCGGAAATTTTGAATTAAAGCCCTAAAGGACACCGATCTGGGCGGAGCCAAGATTTTTTTGACCCCTAAAAGAGACAGACAATATATATATTTTTATATTTTTTCGCGTGCAACCCTAAACGAGGCCTTCACGGCTAAATATGATGGCGTTTTGCCCAGAACACCCTAAGTGAGACCAAAATCCGAAATACCCCTAAGCGAGACGACGAGCATTCCCACCCCTTTCATATGGGGAGTCCCCCCACCCCCGGCCGGTGAGATTAAAAGTTGACCCAGGGGATTTTTAAATGCCATTCACTTTTTTCTTCCATCAAGACATAAAAACGATTAATCACAACTAGTGTTTGACTAATCTATTGCCGTATTATTTGTAATGGTCCACACAATTAAGCAATGAAGATGGCGGCCATTTTGAAGACGTCATAAGTCCTTAGGAGAGCTCACAAAGAGTTCGTCAGAGGATTTCTGTCATAAATAGGGAGCTTAAGCAACAACGTTTTTGAGCGACGCACGTCAACCGGAAGTGGCCTTTTTTCATTTTTTTGACGGTGGTTTCGCGCAAATTTTCAGTCAAATCGCCTCTATAACAGTAAAGAAGCTAAGGAATACAAATTTTATATCATCAAGGCATGTTAAGAGGGAAAATACCTCACTTCCGGTTGACGTGCGTCGCTCAAAAACGTCGCTGCTTAAGCTCCCTAATATCACAACAAAAGGCTGTTGCAGCCACTGCACCATTTGCCATCAAGACAAGCAGTGGGAGAGAAACAACTTCAGAATAAGAAATTTAAAAAAAATCGAATTTCCAGTCGAATGTGGGAAATTAGCAATCATCACAAGGTTTGTATTTCAGATGTAACGCCATGCAAAAGTTGTGTGAGTGTGTTTTTGCCTTTCGCCCTATGTAAGAGAATCCAAGACAGTCTTGGATTCTTGATTCCACGCTGTGGATTCCGGATATTCCAACTAGGTCTTTGTCAGTGGAACTTTGAATCCGGACTCTAATCGTTAGTGGGATTCCGGATTCCAAAGCCCAGGATTCCGGATTCCAAAAGGAAAAATTTTCCAGATTCCGGAATCTGGATATCCTTACTTGGGCCCTCCAATAAAATAGACTGTTTTCGAGATTTTAGTTTTTCTTCAAAGCCAACACATCCAAATTTCAGTGCGATCTAGAAACCACCAACAAGTGGAAACATTTTGTTCGGAGCTCCTAGCTTTTGTCGCAGAGTGTACTATGGATTCCGTGTGGTCGCTTGAAAGCCGGTTGTGACCTTTATTCAACCGTCACTTTGACAACAAGCATTTTACAGACCAATCAATAGGAAAGGATAGCTTCGAGTAGCTAGTTGGTCTGAAATTCAGGCATTTACAAGGACATGGACTTTTAGCATTGACGCCATATTTTTTGGTTGATTGGTTGTTTTTGTTGCTTTAATTATGTTTGTTTATTTGTTTGATTTTGTTCTGTCTCCAGTCAACTACACCACAATAATAGTGACGTTCTCCTTCCAACGTCGCCTTGGATTCTATCTGCTCCAAGTCTATGTTCCTGATATTTTGATTGTTCTCTTAAGCTGGATCGTGTTCTGGTTGGTCCCTGATGACCCCGGGGCTCGTTTAACAATAGGTGTCACCACAGTACTAACAATAATGTTCCTGTGTGGAGCCGTAAACGTGTCCTTGCCTCCGGTTAGTTATGCCAAAGCAATGGACTGGTACCTAATGGTGTCATTTGCGTTCGTGTTTTTGTCAGTTATTGAGAGCCTTGTAGTATTTTTACTGTCTACGAAGCCACTTGGAAAAACCTCGAAAACAAAGGAAACGGTGAGTTTACTATTCGGGGCTGAATATCAACACGAATTGAAACCATCTGCTAGTCATGCTGTTCAAAACCAGCTAGCCTGTACACAGACGTTGTTTTATTTTTCTGTTCGTTCTTTTCGAAAACATCGGCGCCCTTGCGTTTGGCGGTCAATAAATTCCTTTCGGTTTATATTTTATCACCCGCGTTCCACGGACTTTGAAGAGAAAATTGGGGGTCTGTGAACAGGCTAAACTCAGCAACCTATATGGAACCTATATATAATATTTAAGTGAGCAAATTGGGTATTTCTGGATTAACAAAATGAGTGATACATACCTCTATTGTTCATAATTATTTGACGATTTTTTTTGCTAGATTAATGAATAAACATGAGCGTTTATCAAATTTAAAGCATGAGGCTCAGTTAAGTGTTTTAGGATTGACAAAATAAGAAATAAAGTTTATTAAATGACCATGTTTTTTCAACAAGTGTCATCACCTGGCTGAGTGAGATAAAAGTTGACGACAGAAAACTACAAAAGACAGCCACACTTTGAAAATTAAAGAATGCATGCTGCAGCAGTAGCAGTGGTGTTAACTCAATAGGATTTCTTGTTTTGCAGAATAGCCATTCTTTAGAATCGAAGATACTTTCGTCACTCAAAGCTCGCCAAGGAACCTTTCGAAAAAGTGCAACAAACAAAGGGACGGATGTCGAGGGTCATTTGCTGGAGATGAACATCGTAGTTAAGGACCGAACACTTCCCATGTCGTTAGAGGATATAAGGATCACGGGGGAAAGACAATGTTATGAAGCAGTCATGCGTAGGAACAAAAAGATTGCCCACCGCATTGATAGAATATCTCGGATATTGTTCCCTATCGCCTTTGCGAGTTACACACTTGGCTACTGGCTGAGCTATTCGTAAGATATTCTGGGACTAACAGACGAAAAGAGATTTTTTCAGGAATTGGGAACCATCTATGCATAATAACCATCCATACTAGTCATTTAGCTAGTCATTTGAGACTTTCTTCAAGTCCTTTATCCCCCGTTAGTAAGAACTTATGAAAGGTCCCGGGGGGGGGGGGGCACTGCCATATATGGGCTATATGGGTATGTGTCGCTGTGAAGGTATGGGGTATGGTTTTCAAGCAGTTTACTCTAGGATAGGGTATATAAATCAGAGCGTTTAGGTCTAGAATAGGGTATCATTTTTCAGGAAAGTGATCAGTTGGTTGAAGATTTTATCTAGACTGGGGAAACAGCTACTCTAGGATAGGGGGATTTTGGGAGTTTACTCTAGTATAGGGTAGCAAAATTCGGCTGAACTAGCTCTGGTATAGGTCAAGGGTTCCAGGGTCCCAGCGGCACATCCCCACCCAGAAATTCCTAAAGTGCCCCCCCCGGGTGAAAGGTCTACTTGTCGCATGTCTAATCATTTAGTCACGGGCTGTTCAAAAGCTGGGAGCTGTACAGAGTAATTCTTCTCTTAGATGTAGGGCAAGAATGATTATCCTCTTGCAAATAGAAAAGAACTATAGCTTAAGATGGTTGAAGAGAAGGTAAAAGGGACCGCATCGACGACGAAACGGATGACGTCGACGGTTCGCAACCGAGACAGACTGAGCCAAGGGTTTCGTTTTCGGCGGGGAAAGTTTAAGCAGTGCAGCTTCCCAGACAGACGACGACGTTTTCTTTGCGAAGAACTCGTCGTCGACGAAGGCTGGACGACGTTTTGACAACCTTACGCATGCCCAGAAGGTTCGCGCGTGAAAATCTCACTTCCGATCGGGGGTCGCGCCTCGTCCCATTTCGTCGTCGATGCTTAAGGTCCCTGTTGTCATAGGATATTGTCCTCTTTTACAGAACAGTACTGTCTTTGAGACAGTCTTGGATTCTGGATTCCATGCCATGCATTCCGGATTCCATTTCCTGGATTCCGGATTCTTTGTCAGAGGAACTCGGATACCGGATTCCGGATTCCGGATTCCGGATTCCGGATTCCGCTTGCGAAAAGGTCAACGGGAATAAATTAGGGTCGTCCAGCCTCGAGACAGAGCCTACGCCTTATTGTTGTAGGCAGCGATTAAGTCGTTTGGACAGACCGCAATAAAAGCGTTTATTTGTGAGTTCCAAAAACCCTCATTTTCAAAATGAGGCTAGGTGCACAACCTTTCTTGTGAAAATGAGTTTTATTTGCATGAGAATTAAAAATGATTTCCATATCAAAGGCTGAGCACCTACCCTCGTTTTGAAACAGAGGCTCGGGGAAACTCGGAAATGGCCTATTGAAACGGCTGTACTTTTGTTTCGGGTGTCAGTCTTTTGTAAGAGCAAAGCAAGGGTGTGTGTATTGTTTACATATGCATATTTCTATATATGGCTCAATTCTTTTGGCACATCCTGCTATCGAATCATGTTAAAAATCACGCGAATCAACGGTGTACTAAATGCTACCATCTACAGCCTCACAGAAACAGCTCCCCTCAAGTTGAAAGAGCCAGGCCAGTTCGGCAATCGAGTTTCCTTGGTCATGTGCTCCGCTTCCCTGAAAGCGAGCCTTTCAGAGAATTTGCAACGTATGTTTCTACTCATTGGAGGAGGAAACCCAGAAGAAAGCGAATGTTGTTCACCAGTTATAATCACTGTCTTCTTGAGGATCCTAATAGCCTGCTAAGCGACAATCAGCTGTTGGAAATGGCCTCCATCGATGGAGGAAACTTGTGGTCGACTGCTCTGCAGCCGAATGGCTGAGTGTACACATTCTTATACATGTTATGCGGCACATGACATTGCCAGAGATACAACCATATATGTTAAATGGTCATTGATAATGGCTGCATGACCCGTTATCCACCCAGGTTAATAATGTGTTGGAAAGTTTGATTAACACTTATCACGGGAAAAAGTTGCAAAGAGAAAAAGGAAGAGGACATTTCATTAAATCTACTCTCACCGGCTACGCAGTCAAAAAGTACCATCCAACTGTAAAATGTGCAGGCTCTCAATGCAAGAACAGTCCTTTCGTCCACAACGTTAAACTCGGCGTTTTGCAAACTAGTGTTAAACGTAGTCTTGCTCAAACGTTCAACTTAATTTGTAATGAATTTGTCGCAATTTGTAATAATCATAGGAAAATCTAAAGCCTGCAGCAATATATACATGTAATAAACCATGCACGTGGCGCTTATTTAATAATAATTATACCGAGCTTTGTGATATTAAGCTTTAGTTATTTTCTTTGGTTCATCTCTATTCTGACTGACATGCACACGACGATGATAGGCGATGACTTTATCAGAGTTAACCTATCAGAATAGCTCTAATGACTTTTATGGACTCCATCAATACTATTGTGACAGATACTAAATTGCCATGGTTTGTCCAGATTGCGACGGGTATTACAAAATATGATGATAATTACAAATTTCGACGGGTATTACAAAGCGTGATGATTATTTCAAATTGCATACCCCCTAACTCGGCGGCTGATTGTTTAATATTTTACTACGTTTTGTTACCAAGCCATTAGTAGCATAATAAGGACAAAATTGTTTGTGGGCAGCACATATCTTAATCTAAATCCGGAATTTTTTTTCCCTTTTTGTTGAAGAGTCCAGCAGAAACACTCGTTGACAGGCGAATGATTAAGAATGCATTGACCTTTTATGTTTATAGCTTAGTGTCGAATTTGAAACGATTTCATGAAATGACAAAATGTTAAACGTTGACCCGATGTTTGTAGAGTAAATACTTCATGCAGCTGCATTTGCTTGTGTCTGATTGCAGAGCTCCAAACACCACCAAAAAAGGCCTTAGCCGTTGACAAAGAGTTTTGATTTCTGTTAACCGCAAAATGAACAAAAAAAGGTGTACGGCATAGACTGGAGAAGAAGGCGTTGTTTTCTGTGGGTTTGCTGATATTTTTTTTTCTTCCTTACTGTTCTGTGAAGATTGATGTTCTGTTAAAAAAGTAGACGTGACAAGTTCCATTTTCCATTTCTTGCTATGAGCTTTGTGTTTGCATCCTCCATTTCCTCTAGTTTGTATCCTTCAATGAAGTTATTATACAACAAAGGAATGGTGTCACGTTTTTGCAAACAATATGAAATCTTTTTCCGCCGGCGAATGACGTCAAAAGCCACTGATCTACGAAGATGTCGAAAAACATTAACGGCCTTATCACTATTACTTACTTTATTTTAACTCGTCCAAAATGCGAAATTTAAAGTTCGCTGAAGGTAATTACACTACGGTTTCTTTTAAATCACTATTATGGTCTCATTTGGCGAGTATTTGTACATTATAGTGTATAAGACAAAACAGTTCATAAACGAAGTTGTAGTCTCAGATGTCCAATGTTTACTCTTCAGCAATGAACTACTTAACTCTCTTTGTTTCGCCCCCTTATCGTACTTTCCATTCATTGTACTCATTGAAACATATCTTAATTAAAAATTCTGTGGATACAGCTTTTAGTTCAAGTCACAAAACGTCTCTATTTGATTAAAATGTAATTAAAGGAAGGGAAAAGAGATTTTTATTACCGATAGCACAAAAGGTTGGAGATCAGAAGCGACGCTGCGACTTGGTTTTTTTTTTTTTTAAATTGAAGACTTGAACTATTGCTAAGATGCGGTTTGCGTGGTGAAAGACTGCAAAAACAAGAACTGTCCACTAAAATGGTCATTGAAATGTTACACTTATATTACTTATCTTTTATTATTTTTACGTTTTCTCGTGCTGAAGAAATTCACGCAGCTTGTGCTGAGAAATCTCTGAATAGTACGGTAGAAGAGGAAACAAGGCTCTTACGATTTTCGGTGAAAGAAATATCTGTTATAACCCCTTATCAATGTGCGGATGCTTGCTTGAGAGATACGAGGTGCAAATCGTTTAATGTTGAGCGGAAACTCAATAGCGGTGATAAAAAGTTGTGCCAACTCAACGACGCCAAGTGGAATGAAGATAACGACGTTATTCAAACTACAGGGTGGGATTATTACGGTCTCGATCACGAAGGCCTGCAAGAGGTAAGCAGAAATATTGTGTTTTATCTGGAACAATCGAAATCTGATCCCTATTTTAAAACTGATGCGTCACAGTATCAATGTGAGTCCATTCAAAGATAGGCGACGGGTCTAAAGACTGGGGGTACTGATGCTAGCATTAGACTTCAGTGGAAACGTATATAACAACAACAATACGGAAATTCAAACGCAGAATGTACGTACTGCTTAATTACTGTATATTTGAGCGTTAGGTATTGTCTACACATACAACGTTAGCATAAGTACAGCCCTTGGCAACAAACGCATGTGCAGTAAGATGCTGATCGGTAGACCCATCTGGATGTCACAATGTTAAGTTGAGTAGGCGATGCGCGCTGCAAATCAAGGATATCAACTTATCTCCCCCACCCCCCTCCCTCAAATAATACAGGATGGTCATGTAATATTCAACATCAAATACACTGTTCCTTCTGTGATATCGAGCAATGTTATGGAATCGTTTTCAATCAAACATTATATCAGTCTTCGTTTGAGACAGCTCTATAAGTTTAAGAGTCTAATTTTTTTTTCCACATTATTTTTATTTTCTTCAGATTTTTCTCAACTCAGGCGTTCCCTGTTATGATTAATGGCTGCTTCTGTCTTACTTGACCGAATATTTTAGTGCGAAATCGACCAGCAAACCAACGCTCGTTACAGGTCACAAGTATATTAATCGTTAAAGAGTTCTCCAGTGTTTAACAAAGATGAAAAGTGACCCGATTACTCGTTTTCGTGTCTGAAAGGAACCGACGGAAATAATAGCTAATAATGGCCCTCGTCATCTGGTCGACTCGAAATAAAGGGCTGTTTTGCACCCTACATTACTTATAATGAAGGTTGCAAAACAAACATTGAATCAGAACAAGATTGGTAGTAGAGAGAAGAGACGAGTTAATGAAAGGTGACAGTCAAATGCCCAGGATGGCAGGACAACAGTACGTTTCCGCTTTACAATAACAACGGATATGAGTAGTCAGCTCGTATATTAGCATTTAAAGGCGTTGCGCTTTTGGTTCATTTGTGAGTTTAGTGTACGAGTCTACGTTCACACAAATCCGGATATTTTTTAAACCACATACTTTCTGTGAAGATGTAATAATCAGCATTTCACAAGCGAGGGACAAAAATCTAAATCCCCAACAGGATTCGAACCTATGACGTTCCAAAAACCGGGCGGTCGCTCTATCCACTGACGCCACACGAAACCAGTGAATTCGGTCACTGTAACCGCATAGTTTTGAAACTGCTCTCCAAAGCGGTTTAAGTCCCGTTCACATGAATCCGCATTAAAAAAATAAGCGTTTTCAAAATTGTCCGGATTCGTGTGAACATGGCCTGAGAGGTTGCGGCTATTGGTTCATTGCGAGATTACGGTATGAGTCTAGGTCTCCAAAGCGGTTTAAGTCCTGTCCACACGAATCCAGGTTAAAAAATAAGCGGTTTCAAACATGTCCGGATTCGTGTTGTGGACATGACCTGAGATGTGTGATGAGTGAAGTGACAACAGAGGTAGAGCACGCCACCGTGAACACGTTCCCTAACCTTTTAGAACAATACTGTCAACATTATTTTTGGCTGCTGCTAATGTTTTAAGTAAAATCTCAATCCGTCAGATGATTTAAAATGTGGTATCTTAATGCACACACACTCAGTTTATTCCACATCATAATTCTCTTTGTTTTGGTGTGACTGGTGCATATTATTTGCGAACACTATCATCAGTGTTTAGTGGTGTTGCACATTGAAAAATAGGCACTGGGAAACCTAATGGTCTAGCCATTTGCGCATGTGAGACAAAGGCAGAACCTTCTTTTTCCAGCCGAGCGTCAATCCCAAGCCTACCACTTCTAAGCCTAATACCCAACTCATCTGAGCTAGCTAGTCGCTTGCCGCGAATCCAGCCTGGTTACCCTGTGGTTGATTTAAGTAACTTGTATGGTAGAGACATGTTATCGCATAAAACTAGTAGTAATCATAGATCAATAAGTGCGTTCGAGTTTTCTTAGCTCCAGATTAGCTTTTGTGTCGTCAAGCTTGATTTCAAAATCATGGAAGAGATCATGAATTAAAAGGTAAACATTCTTTTCGTAAAAAATGTTCTTCGCGTATACGGCTTCAAAATATCTCACTCATTAACTCTCTACTCTTAAAATGTCTTACTCTCCCTCAAGCATGGTCGATAAAAATGTAAAGTAGATCGTAAAAAGTTCTTTGTTGTTAAAAAGATAAACATGTCACTACAAACTTCGAAAAAATGGTAGCCTTGAAGGTTAAAAGTCTTGGCTTCTTGCGTGACACAACTTGAAGTGAAATCAATGATCATAGGAGCGACGGAAACATATTAGGTTTCTGCTAGATTACTGATGTCAGAGAACCGGACAGAATCTTTTGCCATTGTGCAAACTTTTCATCTCATGATTATTTTACGTTCATGTAGGTCAGTTCAACATGTTTTAAACTTAGCTTGCTTCAGCGAGCGAGATACTTATCATGCAAAATTACCCGCGTAGAGATATCAGACGTGAATAAAGCATTACAGTTGTAACAAACTGCACTGATACGCTCAAGCTTACTTTTTCGTGCATGAAAGAGGTTAAACTACAAATATGTAAATAGACTCAAACGCACGGGTAAACTTCTCACGGCACAAATGTTACCTGGTCTTTATTTGTGTGTTTCTACGAAGTTCCAGCTCGATTTGAAAGGCATTGACCGAAAAGTTTAGCAGAATCATCAGCTCAGTGATAAAACCCGCTTAGAAAACAACTCCAAAGTTCATTCTTTTGCCGAACTCAAATATTCCCGTGTAATCATCTAGTTGACCTTGATGGAACCAGTGATGCACGTGATTGCCATATGACAATTGCTTATGACGTAAAAAATAGTTGTGTGCGCATGTCCACCAGGTGAGCCCGCAATTTCTTTGGCCGGCTATTGGGCTTAAAATTCGTGCGCGCGCTTAATAATTATTCAAAATGGCGCAGATTTTGAACATCGCCCGTCCAAGTAACCAAAAATCTCGAATCTTCACGCCTGGCATGCACAGGTATCCCATCGACCACAGGATCCCCAAAGATTACGAAGCGTTCTCCTAACGTCGAACGCAACTAGACTAAGTACATACACTTGAGTTAAGTGATTTGTTGATTTATCCGTGATATTTGTCTTGCATTACGTGTTGTCCCGAAAAATGGACATAGAATGTAATTTTCATTTGCTCGTGACTATCGTAAAATTCCGAAAATAAGCCCCTTCAAATATACCCCCCCCCCTCCCCGCAAATCGTAACGCAAAATGAACCCTCAGTTAAATCGCCCCTCCGAATGTAAGCCCCCGGGGGGCTTGTACCTGGAATTTGCCCTTGAATACAAAGTAAAACAATGCACAAATGGTAAATTTCCTTTTCACAACAAGCTAGCCCAATCGATTTTGAAACGCAAATTTCCCTCCGTACGCAACCCCCTCCAAAATTAAGCACCTCAAAAAGGGCCTTTGAAAAATATAAGCCCCGGGGCTTATTTTCGGAATTTTACCGTACCTTTAACAGGGACTGAAGGTAGTTCCCAAGGTATCTCGGCACTCTGGAGAGGGGAGGCCTTGGAAACGAAGTTGCACCTTTTGTGTTTGTAGCACAAAGGGAAAGAGGGGTATAATAGCTAGGAAAGAAATCAGTTGCCAAGTTATTGAAAAAAGTTGAAAAGTTTAATGATTGTTTTAGTCTACTTAACAAAACTATCGTCCGCGTGTTCTGTTTATAACGGTCCTATCACAAACTGTGTACTTCACTCTTCAACACGTTCTTCTACGTACACTTTGCTTTCTGATTTACAAACTAAATTGAAGCCGAAAAACCAGATATCAAAACAAGTAAAAATAAATTAGCAATTCGCAAACATGCTCTCTTGAAGATTGTTATGGCTCTTTAGAAGTAAAAGCAAAGTGAATAAGTCCTTTTTAAAGCTGTAAGTATTAACCCACTTTTACTGTTATTTAATGCTATTTACAACGTTCTCTAACCCAACCAATTGCACAAAAGATTTGTCATCGGCGTTCGGAATAAATGCACCGTCAGGTGTTGCCGAAGTATCTGACGAATTGGAAGCTTTTGACTTGAAGCTCGAATCGTAATCCTTCATCCGCTTCTTTGGTGGAAGAGGAACCGCAAAGGGACTCGAAGGTCTCTTTTGTTCAGCTAAAGGAACCCTTTCGCTTTTCAGTGAATCCTCCGTCCCTGAATCATCATGCTGTTTGGACGTTAACGAAGGATCCCTGATTCGATCAATTTCAAGGCGCCGTTTTTCGCGAAGTTTGTTTACGGCTTCTTCCTGCCGTTTAATAAGCTCCTTAAGCCTTTGAATTTTCGCGTCTTGAGGTGAAAGGCCAGTCGACTGTTCAGCCGTTGAAGGTGGCAGTTTTGGCTCCAGCGGCCTTAAATTTGTCGGCGTTGTTACAGTAGCTGGCGATGTTCTAACACTGCTTCCTAATACGCTGCCAGAAGCACCCGCACTTACAACAGACAAACGCGTCTGAGAAAGGCTCGAAACGCTCGCGGAACTTGATGCTACTGAACTTAGCACAGTGCTGGGCGCGGGTGGTTTTAGTGAAGAACCTGAGACAGAAAGCAGCCGTGGGGTGACACTTGTCTGCGGTGATGAAACAGTTGTTTTGGCAGGGGGAGGCGCAATGGGGTACACCTTATTAACAATAGCAGCTTTAGGGGGTGCAGAAATAGGGGTAACTACGTTAGCTGGAATTGGAATCAAGACCTTCCCGCCCGCAACCGGGGATACAAGTTGTTTACCACCCTCGGGTAGAGTTAAAACTACCACTGATTTCCCGTCCGGGCCCAGTAAATTTAACGCCTTCGGAAGAGCCTCGCCTGGTTTAAGGTTCAAAACAATAGATGTCAGTTTGTTAGCGACAGTCGAAGGAGGCTGCTTCATCGCAATTTTTCTCGGCAAGTGTGTTACTGGCGCGGCAGCCGGAGCAGGGGCAGTGGGTGAGGCAAGCACTTGCATTGCCGGTGGTGGCAATGAAACGCCACTAGCGACCTTGGTAGATGTCAATAAAGAAGTGGTTTTAGGTGCATCGGCGTTGCTCACGCTGTTGACCAGCCTAACTAGATTCGACATATTCCCTGCTGATTGCAGATTCGGCGCTGTACTTGGCACTGTTGATGCTGTCCGTGAAATAGCTTCAGTCGTCAGTGGACTTGTCTTTCGTTCTTGTGATTCCAAAGTGATTTTTCCTACCGACGCGCATGCACCCTCATTTTGTGTTCTATTTATTACAGTGCTGGTACCGAAATTGTGAGTTGTCAGACCTTCCTTGCTCTGACCTATGGTAGATTGAATTCCTCGGGAAACATTTACAGAAACTGGATCATTGTTTGACAAAGTACCACTATTGGCAACAGAACATGAATGAAGAAAAACCGTCTTTCCTAAATCAACCATCTGCGTTATTGTTCCTGTCGTTGATCTAGAGTTCAAAGTGCCAACGTTTTGAGCGTCTGCAATGCAAATATCATAGATTGAAAATTTAAAATATACGACAGACTTAACTTCCATTATATCTGCAGTCTCATTCCCTTTACCCTCTGAAGGCCGTTGATTATCGGCAACATGTAAGCCTACAATTATATTGGCACTTTTAACAGAATCGATGATTTGGTTATCAATCATAATACGGTGGAACTTAAGGACCGAGGAAAGGGATGTTATTCGAGGGGGGGGACTTATTTTCCGCTTCTCACCGAGGGGGTTGGGTCTTAACCGGGGCGGTGGGAGCGGGGCTTATAAGAATGACAGCGCTTACTCGAAGACAAACGGCGAGCATAAGGGCCTGTTTAAAAGAGCAATGTCTTAAGTGTAAATGCTCTGCGCAGCTTACCACGTTTGTCGCAAGCAATCGTTGCAATTATGCGGCCGTTTACGCACGAAACATCATGCATTCCTCGTTTAGGAGAAAGTTGTCAATGTTACTCATTGTAAGTTGTTACCCATCGTAAGTGTTAAAATTTATATAAATGGCAATATCCCTACTTCGAAGATGATAAAAGGAGCCTTGTGGAGTAACGGAGAAGAACTGCTTATCAATGAATGGTCTAAGTATGAATGTTTATTTAAAAGGTCAAGTTTGAATCGTAAAAGCCACGATAAGTGCGCCCAGTGAAGACGAAATTTACTTTGATCATACCGTCAGACAAATAAAGATAATTTTAATCGCCACAACATCGACAATGGTTTGCACATGCGATTTGAAATCGCGCCTAACGCGGCTTTTGATGTGCGACAAAATGGTCTGTGTAAATAGGGCTTATGAAAGCTCGGTCGCCGAAAATGACAACTTTGAGAATCCTTTATCAGTCATCTGGATCGACCTGAATAGCACAATTTCATGCCAGAAAAGCCGCCCAATTTATATATATATATAGAAAATTAAAACAAAAACAAAAACGTATAAATAGAAAAAAAAGTATGCGGTACATACTCCCCAAGAAGGCATTTCATCATAAAATGGATTCGCCATGAGGAAAACATTCACTCCTCAAACGTTTTCAGGATCTTTTGCTGATCAATGTTTTGATGTTATCCTTTGTCTTTTGCTTGTTGTGTTTTTTTTATTTATTAATTCATTTATCTACTTTGATTTACTTCAATTTAGTAGCAGAACTAGCGAGTGACTATTTTCTCAATATAAAGATTACTCCCTTCTTCGCAGGCTTATGCGAAACTTGAATTAAAACAAGGAGTAAGGAATTTCTCCCTTACGATCCTGTGAAACTGATGAACCAACCTGATTTTGCAGACTCGTTTGTCTTGTCATCCGGCGCCAGCGAATACACAGCGGAAATAAAAGGAAGCCCTTCATCATCATCCGCAATAACACTGTCGTCTATGGCGGGGACCTGGCTGTCTGGTCCAGGCAATATCGAACTCGATTCTTCGTCTTTTCCGTGACCGTTTACAGGCGCGCCGCTTGTATCACTTGCCATGGTAACGCTTTCTGAAGGATAGGACAGGAGATTTCTGTAAATGATCAAATAGACGCTCGGGGCGTCTATTTCATTTTGGGATCCCAAGCAGGGGCGTTTAATAGAGAGAGGCGTTTATTGTTATGACTGTCACAAACTTCACAAAACTAATATGCGTTCGGCGAATACTAATATCACCACAGTTTAAACGTCTAGGTTGTCAAGATTTTCCATACTGAAAACAGACTATCCCCCTCCCAGATTTTCTATACGGCCAAACTAGACCTCTTCTGTCGCCAATTTAAAAGCTAAGAGTGCGACCATTGCTCTCCCTTTCCTTTCTTTATCCTTGTTCTCTCTACTTTTCTCTTAGTTTCCTTCTGTGATCTGTTTTTGGGCTTGTCGGAGGCAAGAAGCTTGCCTTTTTGGCCTATATTCAGTCAAATGACTGCTTGATATACACCTAACGCCAACATTCGCCTAAGGTACTTTGCGAAACACACCACTTTTCTCACAGGCGGAAAAAAGTTGTTTACAATGACGTTGGGTGGCGGGATCCCCCTCTATATAGTCACAGCTGACTAGCAGTTAAGATTAAGCAAGAGAGAATGAGCTCATTATCTCTTGGATTAAGGTAATGTGTATGTTGTCCCGGAGATAGGACCGTATACCGTAAAATTCCGAAAATAAGCCCCGGGGCTTATATTTTTCAAGGGCCCTTTATATAAATTACTTTTGTTCAAATCGATTGCAAATTTAATATTTGTTTTATTTGTATTTGGGGCAATTTTCCAAGCGTCTTTTAACTTTTTTTTTTTTTTTGGGGGCTTATATTTGGAGGGGCTTATACATGGAGGGGCTTATTTTCGGAATTTTAAGACATATAAATTACTTTTGTCCACCTAGACTAGTTTTCTTTTTTTTTTTTTTGTACAGACACTGTCCACCTAGACTAGTTTTAGCTGCTTGTAGGTAGTGAGAAAATATAATTGTAAATTTGGATTAACCAATTAAAATGAATGAATGAATGAATTTTAATATTAGTGACGTTCCCAGTCCTTAGCAACCTAAAATACGATTCTTTCAAGCGAAGCGCGAAGAAGCATTCGATGATTACGGTCCATGCGTCTCAACCACTATTGAAGTTTAAGAAATTTAACCTGTTAGACAAATAGTTGGACTGGGATATTCATAGCCTATCATACAAAGCATGAACTTCTCAAGTACTAATATAATACAACGAAATACACTGACGTAAATGTCATGGTTCCATGACTGGCTTGTGTAATAGAAGAAGAATATCGCGTGATAAAGAATTTGTTCTGCTCTTTAAGATTTCTCTGGAGCTTGGTTTAAATTTAAAACAAGACTTCAGAGACAATGTAATACGTTCGGCATAAACTTATGGTAATCGAAAGAAACGCAAAGGAAAAAGGAGTCTTTGAATACTAATTATAATTACAATTGTACTTTACACGGTTTATGATCAGTTACTTAGAAACACAAAAACAACTTAAGCGTGGTGCATTGCATTACACTTGTTGCAGCCTTTAATTAATGCAAAATGTTATTCAAAAGTTGCATTTAACTGGCTTTGGAACATTTAAATACAATTTGTAGTCTGCAGAATTTGCTAAGAGGGTATACATTAACCCTACACATTGTGTAATTATGTTTTGGCCATTTACAGCAAATGATGACTTAACCAAGTATTGCACACGAAGCTGTTGTTACCCCCCTCCTTGACTTAGATAGAGCATATGAGCTGGGTTCTTTATCTTCTCTGTGTTGAAACAATTGTTTATTCACGATTGCTTATCAGGCTGTTTGATAATTATTAATTCACTCATTTATCAATTTTGGCAAATGTGAAAGCGCATGACGAATTTTAGAATTGCCAAACAAAGAAAATAACGTGTTTGGCCAGTCCTTTCTCGTCTCGTCCCCGTTCCTTTTTTGTAACAGCGTTTTTTGCGATCGCGCTGGCTGGGGTGGGATGAGAACTCAACGGATGTTGCGAGAAAAGGCGGACAGCCGCTTCCAGACAAGGAAGTTTGTGATAGGGCGGCAGTATTTGAAATTCTTCCCAGTATATATCTCAATGCACCGGATGCATCGATTCGCTATTAACTGCTAACGTGAATAGAACAAAGATGTAAAAACTCGCAACAAATTTTAATTGCACTATACAATAACCTTTTCATGTTTTCTATTAAAAGAATGATAAAAAAAATGGTCGCAAACATTCTTTAAAAAAATACGTTTCACTTACGAGACGCGCCAGTTGTCCGTGTCCTTAATTGAGCGTATTAACTTTCAAGACGAAATTTATACCCCTGTCTATACATCCAGTTTCTCAGCTGTGACCTTTAACCCAAGATAATTCACTCCCGTATTTATTCATGCAGCCTTTGGAGTTCTCTTGTGCGTGGGCAGAAGAGGAACCACGTCATAAATACATTGGGAGAACGCAAACTGACTTGAGGAAAATTTGACACCGATAAAATGAACTTCGAACCAATCTTAGCTACTACTAAAAATAGAGATATCGGTTACGAATACTATTAACAGTTTTAATTTTTAATTGTACATTTTCACGACCTATTTTAGCATTTTTAACAGTTTTTAATTTTTAATCGTACATTATATTTCAGCACTCCTTATTTTATTTCATTTTTTTTTTTATAATTGTTGTATGCACGACCCCACCAGCAATGCTGATCTTTTTATCGTGCTAAAATAAAGTTCTTATCTTAAAGTCCTTATCTTAGGGAAGCAAATTTCTGGCACATTTAATGTTTGAAATTTTACTAAAATGGCAGAGAGATCGTTGGTCATGATTTGGAGTGTTAGGCGGAAAAAAGTCACGAAGAAAGATTGACAATTGCTGAAGGATATCGATTTCCGGGAGGACACAATATTTATATTGGTTTTTGCGTGGGGGGATGTTTCCGTTGTATGATGCATGATGAGCCTATTCCATTGTTTCTAGTTCCAGGCCCCATGCATTTTTTCCTAGTAGGGAGGGTTGTTCCGTTGCCTCTGTACCTATTCCTGCCCCGATTGTGCTCGTAAAATGCTGGAAAGTTGCTTACTAGAATGCCAAAAAGTGAAACTTAGCTTTAAAGATGGGTGAAAATTTAAGGATATTAACTAATTATTCATACGGTAGTAGTTGCCCTTTAAGGCCTGCGAAACGTAGTGAGAGATTGCGTGTTCAAAAGGTTGCTAAACATTTCCCACAGAGGAAAATCCTCTCTTGACCTTTACGAAATTCTGATGAATTGAAGTTTTCTATGAAATCGCTGACTTTTTTCGTGCTTCGTGTTTATATTTTGCTAAAAAATTGCCCAGAAAGACAAAAAATTTCTCGAGGTTGATAGAACCGCAAAAAGTTGCCCCAAACGCCAAAAGTTGCCAAGCACAATCCGAACAGGCCTATCTGTACCTACATTACAGGGATGTGTTTACATGGAACACAAGTGATTTTGTTACAAATAGTTGTGGTGAGTCCTGGGACTAATCTTTTTTTTTTGTCCCAGTCTAGAACCAATGAGTCCCAGTTCAAAAGGCAACGGGTCCTCACTTGAAAATCAAATGAAAATGCTTGGGCTTGTATGTAACCAGACAGTTAATCTGAAAACAGACTCCAAAACTCTATATGACAGTATTCTGAAATCAAAATATAGTTCTTCTATTTTAAAGCATAACAAAGGCTAAAATAAATATTGTTCGTTAAATAACAGCCGTAATAACTGCCACAGAAATCACACGAACAGCATTCTACAAAGACACATCTTCAGATCGATCGACCGATCTTTGCGTCCTACTGAACGCATTTCCATGAGTTATTTGGCGTCTTCGGGGATTTTTATGCGTCAGGGACGCAGGACGCAAAGGTAACAAATCCACTGGGGACACATCACTGTTGATGATTTCCGATTTGCAAATTTTCCTTTTTACCCACCACACAAACCGTGTATCAACAGGTTTCCTCACAATACTGGTAAACAACACAGCAACGTTAAGGCAAGCCTACGGCGCGGCCGTTTTCGTTTGACCGTGATAAAAGTGTTATGAGCAAATCATTCCAGCAAAAGTAAAATAAAGAACGTTTACGTCAAAAGAGGGCTCTTGCTAGAAATATGATAGTTTCCTTTTCTTCTCCCATCTGCTTCCGAGGTTTGCTTAGTGGCGAATGAATTTTGCTTAATGGAGGATTCAGCCATATTATCCCCATGGGCAGGAGATAGACTTATTGAGGCATACGCTCTTTTTGCTTGCAGCACTCCAGCTTTGTTTTAATTTCTCACTCTCTGAAAGAAGGTAATCTACCACGTCTGTCTCAAGCAGTTAGCAAAACAGCCCAGACCCCAACCACAGTGCACCCCAACCTCCCTGTTGTCTCCCAGTGCCCCCCCCCCCCCCCCCACACCTACATACATTTGTTTTTTTATCTGAGATGGTGGGCCATATGTCAGTTTATTTATAGCTGACATTAAGGAAATGGAGTAAGAGTATGATTGACAGTAATCTACTGTGTCACATCAATAAATAATTCCCGTCACTAGTCATGTGACTACTGTAATATTATTATGGGGTGAAACAGTATTTTAGGAGCGCACTTTGTTAAGCTTGAAAGGAGCGCGATTCTAGGTTATTTGTGCGGTTTAAATTACCAAATAAGAAATAGTAAGAAAACTTTCCCTGTACTAGTCGCTACGCTTAACTCCGTTTGTATTTAATCAGCAAATTGTGTTGCTTCAATAGTTGGCAAAGCATTTTAATTTTTTAAAAAAGTTGGTAGTCTTAGCGTCATACCCCAAACAAGCGGCGAATAGACTTTCATACGTTTTCAAACAATAAAAGTAGCTAATCAACCATTTGCTGCTAAAGCTCATCATCAAATACTCGATGAGTGATTCCCGCGTTACTTTTTAATCGTTCTGTCCGTTCCGTTTCAAAGACGAGTACGAGCAGCAGCACACAAACGTCAAAGTTTACATGGATCTCTTCAAAACTTGCATGGTCTAGAGCAGAACTAAAGAATTGCCTCTATTCATATTTTTAGGATACCCAAAACAAGTTTGCAAGCGCTGTTTTGCCTGTAATTTAAGCAGCAGTTAGTTAAGACTTTCAACATTACATATTAAAACAGATTAAAGTTACTAACTACATGTACACGGCCGCTATATATGCACGTGTTTGAATCAAAATTTATTCACTTAAGTTAAGTTCCCTACCTCGTAATAGCACCGTCTTCCCAGCTTGTGTTTCACTCGTTTATGCTCATCGTTAGGCTCTCATTCACAGGTTTCTAAGAACGTCCTGCGAACGTGAATAACACTCATTCAATTTTCTTAAATAGTGGTTTTGAAGTTTAATTGTGAGGGCATGAAGTACTCGATTTAACCAAGAAGAATGAATCAAAGCTTCAGAGCCGGAGAATGACAATGCATTAGGCTATGATCGAGAAGAACATTGTTATTTTACTAGCTAAACCGAGAAGATTAAGTGAAACTATCTTTTAAATATGTCTAGAATAGAATTAACTCTCCATTTCGCTCGCACAAGCTCGTTTTGGGACGAAATTTGCGTTCGCCAGACGTGCAAGTCAAGCTACCAGCACTCGACTATGAAAACAAAGTAACTCACGAAAATATAGTTGTACCTGGTGCTGAACGTGATCCAAGGAATGATTAAATGTCTAAAATTTTACAGGCTTGACCTTCTAGATCTCTCACTTCACCATTTCCATGTAAGTCATTCATATCGTTATTTGCATAAGTTCAGCGGCCTTCGCTGGGATGTCAGTCATAAAACAATTGAATTGTTTTGGTTGAATGCACACATGACTAAATCACGCGTTGTGTATTGGTCGCACTTCGTGACAGCTGTCATTTTTCTAACCAATGAGAGTTCGCTTTGTATACCCAATGCCGTAATGCCCCTTTGTTTACATTCAAAGGAATGAGTTTTAATGATAGCGAAGCAGTTTTGTAGTATGGATCAGTATTTTCTCTTCGTATAAAAAGTAAAAACAATTGCAATTATCGTTTTGCTAGTTCTATTATTAATTACTCACTTTTACTCTCTTTGAATAATCATTTTCATCCAGAGCGCGAGAAATATACTGATGCAAGTTGACGCTCGTATGAAAGGGATTTAAGTTCATTATGTTTCGTCTCTTTATAAGGTCCTTTAAACCCGAACGCGAAGCTCTTCAACGTAAAAATTCGGTACGTAAATCGTAATTAATGCGTTCATATACTCCATCATTTCACTAAAATTCAATCACCCGGCGACAAAAACATGATCGGGACAAATCAGTGGCTAGCATAGAAATTTCCGTAAAGATACGGAAAGCTCTTTAAAATTCGCTGGTAAATTCACGACGTTCAGCAGAGCATCTTCTAGACTTATTACATCTCGAGATGTACGATCGTAGAGCGATACGCACCGCCTTGACTTGTACAATTAACCCAGACTAATTTAACTGTTCAAAGGCGGATGGGATATATACAGGACAATAAACGTATTCCCCGACAAGCATTAACAAAACTAACCGTGTTATCATTTATTTAGGGAATTTTCCTTTCTACTTTGTTCGGCAGCTAGCCCATACAACGTAAAAATAGGACGCAGTAAAAAAATTAAATCAGTTTGAGTTAGTAACAAAAACTCTGTCGAATATGGTCGGTTCACTACCTCCGAAACAAGCGGAGAATTTTTCAAACCAAAGTAACCTTCATAAATTTCTGATTACTCTAGGTTAGTTGCATACCTAAAGGTCTTGCAGTCAGCCAAGGCCTTGAAGAAAGAGTCCTTAATTGCAGAGTTCCAGCTGAATGAGAGGTGTAACAAACTTGTTGCTTTGAGTCTGCATCCAACGACAAACTGTACGTCAACACTGCACGCTCCCTCTTCGTTGCTCTCGGAAACACCACTGAAGGTTTCAATAGGCGCTGGTTCAAAATGTCAGCTGACTGAAGAATATGCGCACGCAAATTTACATCAATCGTCTTTAAGAGTAGAGGTATTATTACGTCGGGGCTACTGCGCAAGTCTGTTGGAGTTTCAAACATTTCATTTCCGTTGCGCGGTCCTGGATATTTGGGATGAAGCGCGGGCTGTCATTCTCAAACAGCGGTATGGAAGCATCATGGGCCGGAGTAAGTACTTGTAGTGGGGAGACAACTATAAGTCCAACTTAATAACTGTGACCAATGAAAGGCCAAGAAAGGTGGCAGTTTAACTGGTTTGAAGAGCGCTTAGGATAGGATAGATAATTCACTACTGTATCTACTATACTATCCAACGTGTACAGAGACCTCAATCGATTTCATTTCAGATCTTGATCACGATCAATCGATTCGCGCACCGTTAATAATGCGTAAACAACTAAGGTGTATAAGCTTCGAATTTGATCAGGCTTTTGCATTTTCAGGTAAAAAGAAAGCAACAACAACAATAATATTTCCTCTTGTTGTGGTGTCAGGTTGCCAGGGACTTATGAAAGTTTTTAATCGAGTAACCGAAGGCGGTAGGACGTTTCTAGTTACTGTCATTTAGATAGCTGTATTTATCCAGCGAGTTGTGTTTTGCTGTTCTTTCTACGTTTTCAGGCAGAAGGCTATTTCTTCTTCGTAAAAAGTGTGAAATTTTCCGCCATGTCCTCCAGCGCTCTCATACCTAAACAGCTGAGCTTAGCTGAACTAAGGGCCTGTTTACATGGAGTGGGGGACCCCGGTCTAGTGGGGTAAGTTTCTTTTGTTTTCACGCTCTGGGGGACACAAAACAAAAGAAACTTCTTACCCCACTAGACCGGGGTCCCCCACTCCATGTAAACAGGCCCTAAGTCAATGGTCATCCTCACAGCTTGTCGGTTGCCGTGCCTTTTTCTGTTGATATCCTGCACCAATGATGTCATTTTATCGGATATCGTAACCGTCTCCAAACTGAGTCAACGCTAGCTGATTATGAAAAATTATCCTCGGGACCACAGCCAAGAACAAGAGAAGATCGGTCTAAAAGCCGACGGTGGCCAGCAACGGCTGACTGACTTTTAAGGTCACGTGTCCTAAAGATCACCTGACACTGTTTTGAGTCCCACGGATGAACATCACAGTAATGACCTAAATTTTTGGACTTCATTTAAATTCGGTTATGTTGTGATATTATATACTGGAACGTTTCTACGACATATTTTTACTTCTAAAACGTAAAGCGATAGAACGCAGTTTGAATAGTGTTTTGTAAAAGTCACCAGAAAGATAAAGACATGCACGTAACGCACTCAAGGTCAGTTTCTCTCATTACTAAAAAACTCTAAGGTCTGTGCGCCAAACAGGCTTCTATTCAGTCTTACTGCCTTCTCGCAGTAACTCAATATTACATCCGGTCTGCAAAACTATCTTCTTTTAAAACATTAATCATCCAGTTCTGATAAACTGGTTCGCAGTATTTAGCAGTCTTATTTGCTTATTTGCCACATTAAATTGTAAAACGTGAGGCTTCCAGTTTGCGTCATATACAATTCGGTAGGTAAAATTGCACCAGTACTGGTTCGATTTCAAACCACAGGGGGCTTCATGTTGCCGTAAAAATTTCACTCCCGTTCGTTTTAACCAAAGAACAATCACCATTGTTCCAGCTATACTCTGTTGTTATGATATCATATCGATCCTTGGCGTTCCATTGGTGGTCAGTTGATTTGAATGTGAGGCTTTATATGATAGAAGATCCCTTTTCAGTCATTTCTATGAGATCGCTCGAATAAATTCCACGAAACAAGGTTTCTTCTGTTTACGCGTTCTACTCTGTGATTTGCTAAAATGACGATAAACATCATGGATTTCAAACATGAAGTTTTTCACGATCGGAACAATATTTTGGCTTCCTTCCAGTGCCCGCTTAGCTTGACGAACTTTGTAAGAAATTATTTTAGGTAAAAACTGACCGAAAAAGAAATAAAACATAACAGCCAAAACGAAGTATGCAAACACTGTATTTGTCCAAACACAACACGAAGAAATCTCACAGCCACTTGAAAAGCAACCAAAGATTCTACAGTAATGATAATTCAGGCAAAGCAGCCTTCCAAACGCTACAACGATGCTCATGAGTGATGACGTCAGAGCTAGGGTCTGCCATGATGCCAAATGAAACATGGGTTTTTCGACACTTTCAGGAGAATCACAGAAAACCATATAAAAGTTTAATAAAAAGCAAAGAGAATCTTCAAGGAGGATGGTTATTAAAAACAGGTACATTTTTTCTTTGTAGACATATTCTCGCAATTCAAAATCTCTGCCCAGCACCATTTCATCAAAATTGCCTTTAAATTCCCAATAGGCCAGCCAAACGTCCTAAGCAGGAAAAGATTAATGTTCCAATTAAACAACAGAAAACGAAATATAACCATGCCACGAGTAATATAAATTTGCGTAAATCCTCACGTCTTGAGACGTATTTTATAAAATTTTGCTTATCTGTTGCAACATAAAAAAGGCCAAGTAAAATTATAGTGAAAACAAGAAGTATCCACGTTTTTAGAGGTTCCCAGCAAGATGACAAACTACACTGTTTCTCCTCTTCGTAACTCCATTCGATCACATTTTTTGGGAATACCAATGGTACACTGTCTTCCCTCATTGTGATACCATCTGATTTGTGTCGGCAAAAAACATTACTAAATGATCAATATCAGGTGTACTTTTGCCGATGGAATACCGGCGATCACTTTTCGATCAGTTGGAACAATTGCGTGGGTTGAAATCAGCGTGAAATTAACTCTCAGACGGAAGGATTGAAAGTTCCCGTTTTGAAATACAAGGATGCGTATAAATCATTCACCCGCTGTGTTTTACAGATAAAATAGCGAAATAATACTGAATATATTATTAACTGATTGCCCCTCAAGTCGGTCCTATGCATACTTTTAAATTTATGACATTCCGTGATTGCAAGGTTTGGTGAAAACAACAATCTCTCCTCTAAAGGGCTTGTTATTATTTTGCCAGCTGTTTATACACCGCTTTAGCTCAAAATTTTAGCACCAGATGCAGCTAAGAAACGCCGTAAGTCACGATACAGATGGAGGCGTAAAACACAACAATGTTTACGCTTAAATTAAGACTGCTGACCAAAAATACTGTTCGGATCGGAAGCGGAGAAAATCATGTGTTACGAAATGTCTTCTGAAGGGAATATTACAGCTCGAAAATAGCATTCTTAGGCCGTGAGATCTTAACTGAAATTTAGCAATGTTTTCTACCGCTGGATAACCGGCAGCGGGTTGAAAGCGAGGAGCTGGTTAATTGTATTTCGACCTGGAAGCAAGCTCCTTCGAGGTCACGCAAGAGATAGAAACTCATTGTACGATGAAATGCTTAAACGGAAACGCGTAAACATGCCATGGTATGACCTTTTGGAACGGACAGTCGTAGAAATCTTTGGAAGGAAATTGTTACTGTTAGTGTTTTTGTCAAAACGGCGACAGATACAACTCTTAAGGTAAGAATTACTGCAAACATTTAAAAGAAGAGGATGGGCCCTTTGCAGCTGGTCATTCACGTAGTACAAAATCTGTTATGCTGAAGAACAAGGAACACACTGGAACAAGACAAACAAAAGGCTTACACTACTTACATGATTTAAAATGGTAATTTCCGTTGCTGTGTTGCCCCATTGCATCTCTTGCTTTCTAGCATGGCGATTTCGTACCATGCGAACGACTGGAGGAATTTTTTTTGCAAAGGGTTTATTGGTTATCGAAACAGATAGAAACCAAGACATGCTTATGTTTTAAGGACTTGTATTTTGTTTTCAATAATTGAAAAATGCCTGATATTTCTGTCAACTCTCATAGCACATATCTTTCAGTCATATTTCTTATAATGTCAATATTCATTAACATTTATCCAATGTGAGCGATTTATTTATTTTATTATTTATTTATTTATCCTCTCTTGTTTTGACGTGATCCAGACACTCAGTTGTTATTCTTTATTTCTTACTACTTCTTACAACTCCTGATTCCGTCTGAGATAACTGAAATAACACTGTCACACTCTGGATTCATAAGCTCTGCCATCCCTGGCTAGTGAGAGTTGTGCTCAGGATTCTTTAGGTTTCAGTGTTCCCTCTTGTATAATTGGTATCGGTAGAGTTAGCATTAAGATGCCACACAAGCAACACACGCAGCCTAAAACTTTGCCAATAACTGTTACTGGGACCATGTCACCATAACTGAAAAGAAAAGCAATAGTTCCTGTTAATGAATTTATGATTCACCGCAAACAATTAATTTGCGACCATTGCAAAGAAAACCACTTAGAGTTGATCCTGGAATCAGTTGAAAACTAGTAACATGCCGTTGCTTCGATGGGTCGACACCTGAGCCCGCGATATGGCCATGCGATATTGGTCAGCGGATACCCTGTTTTGGCAGCTGTCAATTAACTACAACATTGATGTGCAATGTAACGTTGCAGGTAGCTAGAAAGTGTGTGATATTACATTGGTTCGCCTGTGGTGTCGACGTATGAATGGACGAACGGATATTCGGTCACCGGACTACCAAAATTTTCTCGGATGGATAGATAACCAAATTTTCTTAGCTGTGGAGCTCCGCTATACACTCTGATTAATAAAACTTCTATACGTGCCTGATTAGAGCTCCAAAAGTTGTATTTTCTTTCGCATAGTGTACCGAATGCTTATGCACTGTGATTGGTCGTCGGCTAGGATTTGTAAGATTGCAGACGCACGGTTGATGTCGCGGCTAATTGTTTGTCCTTGTTTTATCCATGGTGCGAAGTTAAGAAAATATTTATGAGTGTAATTGGGTTGAGCATATGAAGGCATCCAAAAAACCTAGAGTCTAGAGGGAGCTGTTTACTATTAAGAAATATGAGAAACCGAGACACCTGGTGTTCTTGACGACTTCAAAATTCCCGAACTTGAAGAATTTTTGAAACAGGTGAGAATGCTACGAACGCATCCGAATTTGAAAACGTGTGCGCGATTAATTTGCTTTGGGCAAGGAAAAGGCTCGCAAAAATGTTAAGGAGAAACTGTCTCCAAGAACAATCGAATATCTAAACTGCCGCAACAGTCAGGCTTCTTGAGGCAGATTTTTCTTTCGTATAAAGCAGAGAGACTAGTATGATTTTCCTTAGAAAACAAATAATTTCTTCAGCGATTAAATTTCCTTTTTACTATAATAATATTTAATACTTATATTGCGCTTTTTCTATAAAAATACTCAAAAGCGCATTACAATATTATTAATAACTAAATTAAAAACCAGTAAAATTACCCGGTAAAATTACAATATTTAAAAATAAATAAATAAATAAATAATCTAACTAAAAGCCTTCTTAAATAAATATGTTTTAACAGAGCGTTTAAAAGAGTCGATTGATGTTTCCTGTCTTATTGGCAGAGGAAGACTGTTCCATAAAAAGGGGGCAGCCATCGATAACGCGCGATCTCCCAAAGTCTTCTTCGTTCTTAGCCGAGGTCTTTCTAACAATATACCATTGTTACAGCGTAGCTGGTAACGTGAGTCCGAATCAAGGAAAATCCTAAAATTCATTTTAAAAAAAAAATAATTCAAAGGGAACTTGTTTTCAAACGTGATTCAGTTGCGTAAAATCAAATTAGAAATGGCCACACTGACCTGACCTAGCAACCAATGAAAGAAATTGTTTTTTCTTACCCCACAGTCATCATAGTGATTATGGTATACCACATACTCTCGGGAATACTCTTGAATTCTGTCTCCTCAGCTTTTGTTTGTTCAATATAGTACAACACACTTGAAAATAAAATATTCGTCAACAAGAACGCAAAGAGCAGAAAGCCCAAATCCACAATTGCTCGCTTCAACGCCCTTCCCATCTGCCTCATATGTTTAGAATGCCGGGAAAGCTTGAGTATCCGAAAGACGCGGAGCATGCGGAGAACCATCAAGCCGCTGGCCTTTTCCACCGCCGAAGAGGATCCAGGAAAGAGATGCTGAAATAAAAGAATAACGTAGAACGGTGCAACCGCCATCAAATCCACGATATTCATCTTGTTCACTAGGAACTTAAGACGATTATCAGATGCATATAATCTGAGCAAATACTCCGCAGTGAAGACACTCACGCAGAAGGCGTCAATTATGAAGAAAAGAAGAGGATATTTTTCCTCGCATGAGAGGTTGTTGGTGCATCGCTCTGTCTCAACAATTGTGCATACAACACTAAGATAAATAAGAACTGCGATGAAACCCTGAACACATTTCCCCAGGCGAGTTGTTTCTGTGTTTTCGAGGAGGTCCCAGAGCCATTTGCGAAGAAACGATTTATTTCGAGCGTCTTCCATCTTTCTACATCCGCATTGCTCGTCCAAATTCCCTTTCAGGCAGAGTTTTTTAGAGAGATTATAACAACTTTCCCAGCAGCAGTCATTTATGCTGTCAATGTTAATTCCGTAGAAGAGAAGTTCTTCGTGGAAGGCACCAAAGCAGTCCTCGCTGGATAAATGTAACTTGCCGTCACGATAGAAGTTAAGAATGTATCGAAACATGTGGGGGTCTCTGTCAAGAAAATATTCCTTTTTGTCATTGTCGAAGTAGAGCTTAATTGCCTCGCTGCCTAACAACGTGTCTGGATATTTCTTTAGCGTGCTGTCCCATGTACAAAACCTTCTTCCACTTACATTTATCGTAACCCTCTTATCGGCTCTTTCGGTTCTAAGTTTACCAATCCTTGTTTTAGATTGCAGTGTCATCAACTGGCTTTCCCACAGCTTTGTTAGATGGTGTTCATTTATTTAACCTCGTTGATACTCTTTGTCGTTGTTGTTGTTGTTGTTGTTGACGACGCTAATCATCTGCGAGGGCAAAAACAAGACATCGTGAACGCCAAACCATTGATATAATTAGTAACAACAAAACGTCTGCGCCGAAAACAGCACAAACTGCTCATGGAATATGACAGGATTAAGACGGAATAAAAACGTTCAAAAGTTGTTACAAAATATTAAAAGTACTACATGCTGCAACAATCAATACCGATATTGTTACATAGGGTATACCGTTGGTTACAATCGGTTCCCGCCTTAGTGAAAGTACATTGGCCACTCAAAGAGCTTTGTCACATGTCCAACAGTGGAAACAATTTATCACTAGTTACCTGATAGAGCTGAAGCGTCCATGATAAAACAGCATTTTAAAGAACAGTTGAATTGTTAAACATTTTGCCAGGTATAAAATCGCAGCTTCTTTTAAATACTAATTTTGATCAGTGAAATCGAAATTAATAGGTCAGCGGATAACTTTAACAAAATGTAACTTCAGTGGGGAACACTACTGAGCCCGCCATTTGGTCGTGATATATTTCAGCGGATGCCTCATTATGATAGCCATTAATTGACTCTGAGATGGACGGCTTATACTAATTTTTTCGCTCTGACTGTATAGCGATATTCTATTTGTTTTTTCCGTTGTGTAACTCTAACTAGCAACTAACTAATTTTGTAACTACAAGTTCAAGTATTTCGATAAAGTTGATGTAGTAGTAGGGTTAAGACTCCAAGTAAACATTGTCTCATCTCCTTTTGTTTCGTCTTGAAGGCCTCAACTTAGATACGTTCTTTCCTGTCTTTGTCCCCATCCGTTTATCAATCAAAAGTTCTAAGAACAAAGACCTCATTAGAACTCATGTCTATAAAATTAATTCTGTGTGAAAAGGCCTGAACGTGCTATTACATTCGGTAGCGAATTTTTCTCGACAGACGGCTAAGAAAAAGTGAGACGGCTTGTTAATGTTGCCAAATCAAGAAAAAGACCACCTGCTCCGCAAGTCTAAAAACTACATCCTGAATTGTTTCGTAGCATTTGCGTATAATTAGAACTCCAAAGGGACTGCTAAGTTAAGTTGTAGAGGAAACTAAAAGCAAATTCTGCTTTAGCGACAATTTCGACTTCGTCGGTTTAATTTTATCTGTTCGTTACTTAATAATAGTCCTTTTCAGTATGCGTGGTCCATGTCAACGTTTGCCGATTGTTTATGGTAATATACCTTGATTGTTAACTTACTAAGTCCATTCTAGTTTAAACAATTTGTCGTAATGCCTTATTATATTATCACGTTGGTGGGTACAAACTGAATATTCATTTCTTTTTCTGATCATTTTTTTTTTGTCATGAAAATTCGTTTGGCTTATATGTCAGTGCTTTAAAGAAACACCAAACGATGCTGCCAAGAGACCATTAAGAAATATCTCGAGACTGTCAATGTTCTCTGTTATTTTATGTGATTTCCAGTGACCTACTTGAAATTCGACGATCTTCAAAATTTTAACCTGAGTGGTGAAAAACCCGACGGCTGTAGTCAGCATGCGTTTCGTTAGTTATAACAATTAAAGAATCGCACATATATTATATTTTTTATACAAATTTTCTGAGGGAGTCTTAATTGCAGACACAATACCACTACCGAAAGTGCCTCAAGGAAAAGTGAAACCACGCTAGACACGTCTTCATTACGAGTGGTAAAAACCCGTAGATTCAAACCCGCAAATATACATCAACTATAATGAACTAAAAAGCATTGAAAAATGGAGCGACACGAGATTTCATCGTATTGGTATCTTTATAACTCACCCGGAGTGATCTTCAATAAAGTACTTCAATCCCTTTTTGTGTTTTGCTGGCATTTGTTTCTTAGCCATGTCTTCCGTTTTGTCTTGGTAAGATGTAAAATTTCGATAATAAGCTGGATATTTGTCTCATTACAAAAGTTATTGCAAGCACCTGGTGTTTAAGAGCCAATGAGGATTCTCAAATGTCAAATCATGCGTATTTCTAAGTGGAATAGACTATCACATCCCTTCTTGTTATCGATTCTAAGATGAAAATAATTACCCTCAGTTAGAAAAATAAAACAACGAAAAACAAAATTTCAGTCTACTCTAAACTTAACTTGTAGCTGAGTAATTTCTCTTTCTTTCTGTTTCAGATCACGCCCATAATAAATATAACCAGCCGATGTGATTGGAATGATCAACGAGCACGACGGATCAATGTTAAGCGATATCACACACTATGCGTTTTACGGCACATACCCTTGAAGGTGATGATGATTCATTTACGGATATGTAACAAATACGTGGGAGTTTGAAAAAAGAAAACGTGGATGTTGATTTAAAAAGAACGGAAGAAAACTGTTTTCGAAGGCGCCCACACAATATACAACTGTACCTGTACTGTTGTACGCATCTATTTTCGTAAAGAAAGACCTCACCAGCCAAACGCGAAGTTCAGAGGTTTGAAGAAATTGTGGTTGGCTTTCAAGTGTAACTTGAAAAAGATCATGTGAGATTATTTGGTAAGCCGTTTAAAAGTCTTTTCAATTTAACGCTAAATGAGAAAAAATGACCATTTATAGTAAGCTCACCCTGTTGTTAATCGAACTACGTCAAGTCAGAAAATGAATCAACAAAAGACCTTAGATTTATTAATTAAAAACAGAAGTCGACGAAAAATTAAACGAGATCGGTAATTGAAATTGTCAATATACTTTTGAAATTTAAAAGCATGTCAGAGTTGTTAAAACAGTCATGAAAGTAAATGTAATGAAATTATGAGTCCCTGCGTGATTAAGCTAATAATTTGCTATATTAACAAGCCAAAGTGATCGAAGACCGAATGACGATAATTTAATCTGGATTCTGAAAGAGTCAGTCACAATTTTATTAAGATACCGTTTTTCATTTTCTCCGTCATGATAGATGCTTTAATTAGTAATTTAAAAGAGGCGAGAAGATGTACGATACCCGGCATCATCTGAAGCAAATACAAGAGTTTACTGTTCAGTATGATCTATTTTCGTTCAAAAAGTACAGATCTCCCACGCGATTAAGAATTATACAAATTTGGTATCATAACATTACTGATAAATTGACCCGGTAGTGAATGCAACATACGTTTTATTTTGTTTCGTTTATTTAATTTGCCTTTGCAGACATGGAAGTGTATATTTCAATTTACGATTCTATTGAATTCGCTATTAAGGTTATTAAGACCAGATCAAAGGCTCGGCCGTAAGTTACCACGCAACGAAGCCCATTGAACAGAGGCAAGGTCTTAAAAACACTCGGATAATTTCCACTGAGTATTTTTTTTTTAAAATGCAACGGTTTATTGGAAGCCTGTGTACTTGAATCGAGAGGAGACTATAATGCCTTCAGCCAAAAAAGAGAGAGAGAGAAAAAAAAAAGAAAAGAAAACGCTTATTGTCCTTTGCTTTTTCGAATGCGATAAAATTTCGATGTTTGGATTCGTATAGAAAGCTATCTAAGTCCAGTCTAGGCATACCCTGTCTTCACCAGTGACATGCCCTGTTCGGCTCACCAGTGGCTCGCACTGTCATAAACAAGGGTCATGTTTGATTGTCTGTTTTTGGCTTTATTTTTTTTGCTTGTGCAACGGTTGTGCAGAGCCTTTCCTTCCAAGGAATGATGTCTGTAATATTAAATATATGTTTTTTAAAGGTCATAATAATCAAGAAAAGCAGATTTTGATATTTTTTTGTTTTTATGCCCCTGAGGCAGCCGTCTTCACTTATTTTAAAGCCTGCTTGCCTATGCTGGAGTCACTAGACGGAGTCAGGCGTAAAAATCTTATTCCGCAAGGGTTGATTTCCACTGCCGCGTGATTTTTACGTGCGTACGTGGGTAAAATTTACGCTCGCCAATAAAATAGAGGCAATGTATGAAAGGTCGCACGCAAGCGTAAAAGTAGAACCTCGCTCAACTTCACTTTTAACCTCAACACTTTATACCTTGCCTCTCTTTTATTTACGTGATTAAAATTTACGCGCGTTAACATGCGTGGCCAAAAACGCGTCAGTGGAAATCAACCTTAACTAAGTTAAAAGAATAAAAGAAGAACTGTTATTCTTCTTCTTATTATTATTATTATGTAAAATTTAGCACAGAGATTTTCCCTGGGGAGAAATATCCAGTCAAGTCTCATCCCGAGACCTCAGACTTCCAGCACCTTTCTGAGGATATGTGCCGATCTGAGGAGTGCCGACTTGTGCATCGTTCTTGTTCGGTTTTTAATTCCTAGTTGCTCCAAGTGGCCTGCCAGCTTCTTTGACACTGAACCCCCGACCACCCCGTGTGTTCATGGCGGACCGAAATTGCGAAAAATCCCCATGATTGCGTCCACTTTTTTTTTTAACTTCCTCCTTGTTCGGTTCATTTATTTTACATCGTAATAAACTTCAATTTACTTTTGGCAGTGAAACTAATGGACTAATTGGATTGTCCGAACTTCCACTTTTATTCCTTCCGATATGACTAAAATCAGTCTTTCTGGACTTGGCGATAAGGAAATTTTTCGGATTGCAGTCTTACCCAACCTCACTGCGTAAAAAATACCCTAGCGACCTTCTTTAAAGATCGACAGTATGATTAACGCACATTAACTTTCTTTCCAAATTAACATAACAGGAAATCTGCTTTTCTTCATAAAGGATATTGCTTACCGTGTTACTAACTTAAATGCCAAAAAAAACACTTAAGTGAATTTATTCAGGAAAGCGCTACCCTTAGTTAATTATATTAAGCAAATTTTTCCTCCTAGTATTCGAACGTGTCTTTCAGTTAACGATGTTACGGTTTGCTTAATGGCTACTCCACCAAGAGCCATTACTGTTTCGCTAATAGGCTGCTTTTGAAAGAGAAAAGCAGGGATTATGGTAGTAAATGCTGAAGTGTGCACGATAACGTGGGCGTTGATAGGCTTTTTAAGGTATTTGGTCGTCGGTCAAAGTAGTGTCTTTTAGAGTCAACTTGGTTATCATTTTCTGTTTTCTTAGTCCA